CAAGCGCGGTGCTCTCGTAGTCGTTGCCGGAAACTCCAATTCCGGACCTTCCGGATCCACCCAGCGCAAAAACTCCGGTATTGACCGCTCTGTCGTCGAGTCCTTACCCGTTTTCCGGTTCGGGTCGCTCCGAGGTCAGAAGGAGGGGCTCGAGTGCGCCGTCTGCCTGACCCGGTTCGACCGGGCCGAGGTCCTCCGTCTCCTCCCCAAGTGCAAGCACGCCTTCCACGTCGAGTGCGTCGACACGTGGCTCGACGCCCACTCCACCTGCCCGCTTTGCCGGTACCGGGTCGACCCGGAAGACGTGCTCTTAGTGGACGACGCCTCTAAGATCTTGCACAGCCAGCAAAGCAGCGACGTCGTTTTGGATATCGAGAATGACCCGGGTTATCGCCGGGTTTCGGGGCGTCACTCGTTCGCCGGAGAGCAAAGACCGGGTAACCCGATTCCGACGTGGTCGTTTCGGAGGTCTCTGGACAGCTGGACGGCGTTTAGAAAGAAGAGCGAACCGTCGACCGTGGGATGCCTGGACCGCCCGAGAAAAGACGGGCTGCTGTTGGGCCAGGACAGGACGAGGTTGGAGCACCGGATTATAATCTCCCCCGGGTTGGCTTGTGGCCCCGGCGGGCTCCACCAAAGATGGAGCGACGTACAGCCGTCGGATCTTCTGTATCTACGGTCGGAGATGATTATGAGCGAGGGGTTGCCACGTCAGCCGTCTCAGCAGAATGAGAATAATAGTGCGCAGCAGGTGATCACAGTGCCAGCGGGGCCCGCGGGGCCCGCAAGGCGAGCGGGGATCGAAGAGAGCAGGAGATCATGGAGCTGTGGTGGTGGCAGTAGCGTAATAAATTCGAGAAGCGTGTCGGAAATCACTGGGTTGAGCAGATTTTCGAACAGAGCGAGGAGTAATGAGAGTCTGAGCCACCACCAACAGCAACAACAACAGCGACAGCTCAAGCTTGTGGCCAGGTGGCTGGCGTGGGTTTCTTCTCTGTCACGTCCGGGTATACGGACGGAGCGTACAACGACCCCCACTCCACCGCCCGTCTGTTAGCTTTTAGTACCCTTTTTATACAGGAGACGCCAAAACTTAGATAGGAGAAGAAGAAAAAGCCAGTTCGCTACCTTCCAAAATATTTTTGATTTTTGTGGCTGAGAATATAATTTTCATGGAAAAGAAAAAAAAAAAAATTATTAGTGTGTTCTTAAACGGGAAAGGAAGGGGAACAGTGGAAGGCATGTGGATGTTAGAGTTAGGCTAGACACACGAGGAGAAGGATAGATATTCCAGACAACCACGGATACCGAAATGGCACGTGGATATTTTTGTATGCGGAAATCGCTTATTTCTTCTATTTTTCTTGGTATTCTCTAGCATTTGTATATGTGATTGTTTTAGAATTTAGGTTTAGATATTCAATCATTCAGATCTCTCATGTTTGCTGATTTTTTTTTATTTTTTTTTAATTTCTTGGTTGCTCGGTACAGAATAACAATTAATTGTAAAAAAAGTCTGATGTTCATGTCTGATCTCAGGAGATGAGAATGAAAAATTCTCATTCCCGTCCATGGGAGCACTGAGAAATCGGACCAAGAAATAATATTTTATATTATTCTTGTATTTGGATAAGTTAGTCTAAGAAAAGTGCATTAAATAATTTTCCGAGGATAAAAATTCTGAAGAAAAGTCGAGGGTATGACATTTTGCCATCCCATGTTCCATGTATTGCATTCCCAACAATATAGTTGCCAAACATGATAATGCGTTTTCATACACATTTCTAAACTTCTAAATCTTGAACCAAGCAAGTTCCTCCCATGTTTATTAATCCGTAGTAGGAATTAAAATAAAGAGTTAAATTCTGATTACAAATTACTCTTGTATTTACTTCACACAAAGAAATGAAAAAACAAGCGAGACCACACAAAATTAAGAATTCAACTCCTGATTTTGGAGGAATTGGACTTTTGGGTGAGAGGTAATATTTTATTTCCAGGAAAACTGGCCCATCAGGAAACCATCTTTTTTACTCATTATATCATCACACAAATTTTAAAATTCTAAATTTGCCATCCACTTTAACCCAATAATTTATTTAGAATATAAGTGCATTTTAGTAATCAAATTAATTTCAATTCCTACCCCGATTCCGCATAGTTTAGTAAACAACTTTAATGAGAATACAGATTCCAATTCTCCTATATCTAACTCCTCCTCAATTCAATTCCTCATAACCTGATTGCAAATTAGTTTTCTTTCTGTTGGGTTTGTATATCTTGCTACTCACCCCATGTTTTCTTTCATGAGTATCTTTTGCATTTTGAGCAAGTTTTCAGTTTCATCATGAGGTTAGTTAATTACATTTTGTAGCATGTATTTGGAATTGGATGGAAATTCAAGTTCAAATTGGTTACTCACTCATATGCAAATTTAATTCATATTTGTTTGTTGGTGTTTTCACAACGTAGCTAATCTTCTTGTTTTTTTATTTATTATTATAAGCAACAAAGAAATTACAACGCTGTAATTTCTAAAGAATCTAAATAAATTACAACATTGTGTTAACACAAAGAACATAGGGCAATCAACATCTAAAGATTCGCAAGAAATTGCCCTAGCCACCATGGAAGGAAAATTCTGTAACCAAATATGGCGAGCTGGGTAGAATGCCCCAGCTTCACAAGAGAGTCTTCCACAAAATTTGCTTCCCGAAAGACGTGCTTGAAGGAGATGGCTTGAAAGTAATGTTAAAGCCTTTGAATATTGCCAACAATACAAGAATGTGAACCCACATCCTTGGTTGGAAGAGGGTCTGCTTCACTGAACTTCCTCAGTTGCAAAAATGGCAAGCGTTGTTTCCTTGGTTGAATAATTTTATATTAGTTGACATTGTTAGTTTCCTCCAATATTTTACTTGCATTAACGTTTCATCTAATGAATATGAATCCAATATTTCCTCATCAAATTATATAACTCAACATCTAATAGGAAAACAATGCGGCAGCAAGGGAGCATTATTTATTATATTTAAATGGAAAAAAAAAAAAAACGAACTCTCTATCATGCAGAGCATATGCTCATAGTAGTGCTCACACGGGTGGCATGAATGATTACCATCCGCAAAGGATCTAAAAGTGATGGAAATCATGACTTCAATTTTTACCATCCACAAAGGTTCAAATCTTATGCTAAATGATTGCACCATGAATTTTGGTCCACCAATTCTGAATGAACCTAGGCTGGCCCATTCTTTATATTCATTTTCAAAGATGCGATATCAGTTTTGGTCATAGCAAATTGTCCTGTACTATGACATGAATGATCATATAATGCAAGGAAAAAAGAAAACTTTCTTGTTCAGGGAAAAATTCCAACAAGCTGAAATCAATGGCAAGTTTAGATGATTTTGATTTGATGGCTCCCTTGCTGTTTGTGTGTAAGCCTCAATGACTAGTTCTTGTTTTTTTTTGTTGGGTTGGGATCTGCCCCTTTTCACCAAAAAGAACTTGGAAGATACTGAAGATCTCCTTTGAATCTTTAAAGCTATTAGGTGAAGAAATCCAATGAGTATGTATAGTTTTCTTTTATTAGGCAATTAGCTTGACTTAGGTTTCTTCTATTCTTTTGGCTGCTTGTGCTTTGTTTTGTTCTAGCATTGTATATTGGAATACTCATATGTTATTATTCTTTTAGAATTTGGATTAAGATATCCAATTATTCTAAACTTCCATGTTTGCCTTTTTGTGTGATCGAAGTTAGGAAGGGAAATGGTTCTCTCTCTCTCTCTAACACGCACTATTAAGATGTTCTGTGAAATTGAGCATGAGACCACTAATATGGAAGTCAGCCTTTTTCATTAGGTTAGACACAATTGTCAACTTCTCCGCATGTTTGCTGAGTGGCCAACCCTTGTCAGTATATCACTTTGTTGGAGGATTTGATTTCGAATTTTATAAATGCTAGTTATGGCAAGTTCAATGGGGTTCTAATTGGGGTTGAACTACCTTAGGGATGTAAAGTATAGGAAGCAAATTGGGCTCTAATTGCAACAAAGTCCACATATGTATGGAGCTGGTTTAAGCAACGTGAAACCCACCTAAAAAATCCATCCTCAAAGGAACCAGAATGGGCTCTAAAGCCCAAGCCTAGCCATAGCATAGCAACCAAGTCCACAAATGTATGGAGCTGGTTAAAGTCCTGAAACCCATTGAGCCCCATGTGAAACAAAAGCTGTAGCTTACTTGCATTGTATTTTAGAGCCACAAGCGCGCCTCGTAAACAAATGTATTTTAGAGCCACAGGCGCGCCACGTAAACAAAAGCACAAGCTTTGCTCGAAAGCGGGAAAAAACCAGAACTTGTGAGGCAAAACAAATTCTTGACACTGCAACAAAAAGACACATATCTCCAAATGAAGAACTCTCTCTCTCTTGGATACTGCACATCGGTTGTCAGTATCTATTTGAAGACGTCACAGATTGCGCCCAACAAATAGAAGATTCGTAAGTGTTGTTTGTACTCACCTATTCAATTAAATTTCCAATAATTCAAAACCTAATCATATTTTTATTTGCAAGTTGAATTGTGACATGTTTGTTATGTTCTACATTGAACATATTTCAAAAGGAGAGGTCATTCAAACAAGTGTCAACAAGAACTGTTGCACTTATCAAATATGAGAAATCAATTCTCATTCCAATTCTCCATTTTTCACCGACCAAACTTATCAAACATGAGAAATCAATTTCCATTTCAAAGCTCTATTTCTCACAAACCAAACGCCCTGAGAGGAAAAAATGTTCAATAAAAATTGAGAAATCTTATACATGGTTTAGAAATTGTATTAGTTTGGAAGGGCCTTCACTCTAAAAAGAAAAAAAATAAAAAGAAATGATTTTATCTCAAAAGAAAAAATAAATTGAAAAGGTGCTAAAAAGGAAAATCCGACAGTTGGCTCAACTTCAAACCAGAAGTTGGGGTATCTCTACACTCGGAGAATGCAGTCTCCCGTCGTGGCCACCAAATTCCATTTCACAAAATCTGCAATTTACAGCACTGGCCACTCCAAGAAGAGAACCACCATCTTCCATTTCAAATTCACACGTTCCTCTACTTTACGAATACAAAGATTCAACTTAGAGAACCATTTGGTCTCTCCATGGTCTTCCACCATTTTTCCAAGGTCAGTAACCTTCAAGACCTCACCTTTTTCCATATTTCAATACTGGGCTGCTAATATTCCAGTTCAATTACCAGTACTTGTTGACCCTCGAAGTGAAAATGGTAGTGGGCAATGGCTGATTAATGCATTCTTTCTAGGGGCATAAGGAATTGCACAGAATGTATCAATGTTTCATGGAGATGGTTTTCTCAAGTCATCTCTTTTTACTTGTTCTGTCTAAATCTTGTCGCTGATGCTGAGGCAATTGACTATCCATCTCCTTCTTTTGTGTATGCTTGTGAAGATGTTAACAATTACTATGCCAATGCGGATCATTTAGAGGGTAAATCACTCAAGAAAAAACTGAATTCCATCATAGCCAGGCACCAATCTTTATCCTACAGAGAGGTATTTAGCATTCACTACTGTAACTGTTCTGTTGCTACTAATAGTACAACTAATATGTGTCTTAAATTTTCAGTCTGGTTTGGTGCTTCTTTCAAGAAGCCTGACTTAATGGTTTATGGAAATAGGTGTGGAATGCCCTCAAGCTTCTTGATGCTTCGGATGTTGACAACCCCAAAGCTTCGTCAGGAATGTATGTGCTTATCAAAGCTGAATACTGCTTTTGGTAGTTCTATTTGTATTATTGCATTTACCCTGTAACTCTTTACCAATTTGCCGACAAATGTTTTTATGCAGAGTTGAAATTTACTCCTTGAGGGTTGTACCCAAGTCGTTAGCTGGAAAGCCTGAAGGATGGAATAGTGAGTCAATTGCTCAGATTCACTGCAGCTTGTGCGATTTTGTTGTTGGTGTCTTACACTTATGTATTTTGATTTTTCAACACTTGTGCCTATACGTCTAATGATTAGTGCTTCAGCTAATAAATTTGCTACATCTCCACCTTGTATAGTTTACTACCCCATAATCTTCATGTTTCCATGACAAATATAATTTAAAACTCAAGATATTTATTGTTTTTAAAATGTCGAAACTTCAAATAGAGAACATTAGTGAAGGCTATATAAATTTCAATATGTAAGGAGGAAATATCCTAGATTACTTAATCCAACTAATTTAAGTGTTAATTGACACAATTTTGGCTTAAAATCTCGGTTTAGATACTGGTTTCATTTTTTGGTTTCTAACATGTTCAACTGAAATGAAGTGTTGTTCGTTTTGCAGTTTTGTTGTTGTTGTCAGCCTTCTTTGAATTTGCTTTTGTTTTCTTTGGTTTGTACTTTATTATAGTTGTGGCTGCTTATTTTTACTCTGCAAGATATAAAAATCTCCAAGCTCTAGTTTACCTTTTTTCTTTGAGAGAAATTAATGTAATGCTGCTGTTTTCTAGGGGAGCATCTATGGCCTCGTTCTTATGGGTTAAAAGATGGTCCATCCTTGACTGATTTACACAACATTCGCCCAGCAGATGTGAATGGTAGATGGGTTACTGCCTCTACGTATGTGAAAAGTAGATCTCTTATATTTTGATGTAAAATAGTTGAAGTTTCTTGCAGTCAATTCATCCAGGGGGAACAAATACTACGGAGAATGCAAAGTTCACTCAACTAAGTGTTTGAAGCCAGCAAACAAAGAAGCTGCTTTGGACACGGAAACTGACAAGGACAGATGGGCACCACCTAAACAGGTTTTTTTACTATATTTTGGCACATCAATTCTTTTAATGTCCATCTGCTACCCTTTATCACGTTCTTTTTGGATTTCTGATTGTTGTCACTCTGTTTGGGCAAGAAAGTTACTGTTTAGTTTAAATCTCCTTGCAGTCAGCTTCATATACATTATCACTAAACTGAATTTGTCTTTCATGCCACTTCAGCATAGAGGAGATATTGCAAGGGCGCTGATGTACATGGCAGTATGTTACGGGTTTCGTCAACCAGATGGAGGCCCAGCTCTTCACCTTTCAGATTCTCCAAAAAGTTGTAAGGGAAAAAAGTTAAACCTTTTAGTAGTTTGAGTGTGATTCTCTTCCTGCTGTAATTGTTGATCTTGAGTCTGCATTAGAGATGATCAGGGAAGGTAGACATGCTGTAACCAATTGTTGAACAAAAAATTCCTTCTTTAAAATCATCCTGATTTTCAGACTTTGTCAACATCCATTAGAAGAAGTGCTGACCATTTCCTAGTTGTGTAAAGAAGCCTCTATGTAATTATCACCAAAAAACCACCCTCTAAGTCTATGTTATACTTGCAGTGTACTTGTTGTGGCTACCCCAATCGTAGCTTTCACCCGTCCCCCAAGATGTGCTGTATTATGCGCCTAGTCAAGTCCAATTGATTTGAATCACTTGTTAGAGTCTCATTTTATATCAATACGGTGATTTGTAGCCTCTTGTGGTCTTACCAGAAGCGCTTTTGGCAAAAAGTTGGGAGGCATGGATTTTAAATCCATGAACTTCATTAGAGTTCAATTTAGTGTTTTATTTGGTCTTCTTTCTAATTCATGAAAATTTTATAGTCTGAAAATTGAGATTTAAGCCTATCTGTCATATCGCATCCCATGCCCAAAGAAATAAACCACTGCTATTTCACAAACTCCTTGCCACCTAGCAAGTCCACTTCAAAATCCTCTTTGCCCCTGCTTTCATTTCTACCTTTTAAGCCATCAATAGGCTCCTCCACTTGGTACCTCACTTACCGCTGCCACCACTGCAGTCAAATACTTTATTAGGAAATTTGCTGCCACTGTCACAAGTCACCTGGTTTGCTGCTGTACTGTGCCCACGATGAACAAATTCTTGATGCCCATTTCCACTCCAACTACAGCCCTCTAAGTTCCTACTAGGTCTTGTCTTTATCATGCAACTATTTTTACCATGCCTCCAACATTATTGCGGTTTCACTGTTGCATCTTCGTAGGCCATATATACCTGACTCAAAAGGTTGAGCCATTTTATATGATACTTAAGTGGCTAAGATTACAGATCAATGCTGGGGCAGGGATGCGGTTTATAGGTGGCTTTTTTTAGTTCATTCTTTCATC